GTCTTCTTGTTGGTTGAAATAGCTATTCGAATGAGGTAAATTTGGATTACTATTCTCCGTAATTTATATGCTGTTATAATAAATACATAGAGCGCTTTTTGTGGATCAGTTTTAATATTTTATATTGTTAATATTTACTTGGATTATATAACAACGGATATATATATATATATATATATATATATATATATATATATATATATATATATATATATATAACAGTTTAATTCAGAATGGCGATAGTCTGTTCCAAGCTTGAACGCATTCTTCAAGACATGAGGTTTGGGTAGTAGCGCCAGTAACAATTGAGACATTATTTGTAGCAAGTTTTATTTTTATTGTTAGTATGGGTGGCAAGGTTTTTTTTTCTTCTTCTTCTTCTTCTTCTTCTTCTTCTTCATCTTCTTCTTCTTCTTCTTCTTCTTCTTATTATTATTATTATTATTGTCGGATTATTGTATTATTTTAACGCTTACTGTGTAGAAGAACATGTTTATTTTAAATGAATCATAACAGGTTAGAACAAATTATGATCCGGAAAGCAATAATTTTATAGCTACTGTATAGGGTTGTTTGTTAGATATTAAATACTTTTATTTATTATCAATTACATTAGTGTATTTGGCATTCATTCATTAATTATTCGCTACTGATTATTACATTAAATTTATATAGTTGTAGGTATGCGTTATTTGGAATAGTTTGTTTTATTATTTCCTTTCTTTATTTGGTTTAATCGTTATTTTTATTTTGGGGAAGTATCTAATTTGTTTATTTATTTAAAGTATTTTTTCTTTTCTTTTTTCATTATGTTATCTTCATGGCATATATATATATATATATATATATATATATATATATATATATATATATATATATATATATGTATATATATATATATATATATTCATATTTATATGATGTCTTTTTTAAAGATATCAGTTTTTAGTTTGGGATTTTTACGTAATGTAAGAAAAAAGAAACATTAAAAACCTTAATAAAAGGAACATTATAAAAACTTAAAAAATATTTTCCTGTCTGACATATTCAATGAAACAATATATATATATATATATATATATATATATATATATATATATATATATATATATATATATATATATATATATATATATATATATATATATATAAAATAAAATTTTTTCTAGGTTCGAATCTTGATGGAGGACGAATATTTTTCTAACATGATGCTTACTTATAGAGTCAAGTATAAATCAGGCAATATAAAACTATAGACTCAAATCCGGCATATAAACCCAGGTATAAATTTGACCATTGCTTGTCAATAAACTCCGATTAGTATTTACTTATAAACTCAAGTACAAAACCAACTCGTGTTCATATTGGCATTGAAATATAATCAGTTTTTATCGATTCATCCAAGTTATGTTATTAACGCTACGAATGTTAACATATAGAGTTAAGTCAAAACCAGTTTAAGTGAATATTACTCAATTATAAACCTAACTAACTTTTTGATATAGAATATTGGACATACCAAGCAAGAGCTGATATGTCTATGTAAACATTGATCGGCTGGGTACTTGTCAAAAGGTGAACACTGACCAGCTTTTTATTCAATATATATGTAAACACTGGTCAGGATTCTACTTGTGTCTGTAGTTAAATACTGGTCATGTTTGCAATTGGTAGATAGTGATCGGGCCATACTTGAGTCTGTAAGTGTACAACTGGCCAAGTTTATATAAGTGTCTATAGGTAAACGTTTTTCATGTTTATACTTTAAAATATAGATAAACTTTTCTCATGTTTATAGATTAATCTGTAGGTAAATATTGGACACGTTTCTACTTGAGTCTCTATGTTTAAGCACTGGTCGTATTTATACTTGAGTCTACAAACATCGATCCGGAAGATGTTTTTTTTTGTGGGTGGGCTCTTACTCCTCTGCCATGGACAATGTCGGTGCGATATAAGCCGCGTGGCAGAGTAAAATATTATTTCCCTGTAATATTATTCTTTGATAATATGTTTAAATTAAAAACTCGTTGATAATATCCAAGATGTCGTCACAAGTGAGTCTGATAGGAATGGACTTTTCATCTTAATTACTTACTTCCGTATCGTAACGCGTGCTTTTTAATATGCTTGCTCTCATTTTGTCCCATGGCTTAATTCAAGTCTTTGAGATTATATTCTTACGCAAAAATTAATTAATATATCAGTAGCCGCTTCATCAAAGACATTTTACATGCACTTTATTGGTAGGTCCATTTGATTTTTACATGCTAGAGTCGCTTTTATTATTTTGCTTATCCTCATATTCAGAGACATCATTTTATGACAACACCTAGGGATCAAGTCATAGAAAATTTTATCAAATCTCATGAACCCAGTATAAGAGATCCCAAAAATCACATATCACACACACAGATATGTATATGTATATATATAAAATGGATTCTACACACACACACACACACACACACACACACACACACACACACACACACACACACACACACATACATATATATATATATATATATATTTCGTTGAATATGACAAACAAGGTTAATTTGATTAATTTTCTATTTAGCTTTCCTGTTTGCTGGGAATAAGAGAGTGTAAAAAATGTCAATAGCTTATATTGTCACAAGCGCTTTCGGCCACTTTATCCATTTTCAAGGGGTTTTTTTTTTTCATTTTTGATTGTTTAAGATATATTTGTTCTACTGTTTGAATATTTATTTATTCCGAGCTTTGCGAGTTGAGCGTGCCTGGAATTTTTTCTATTTTATTATATATATATATATATATATATATATATATATATATATATACCAATAGTTTGGGGCTAGATTCTGGATTTATTAATTAGTAAGTTTCATACGGAGACTTTATGCAGTAATGGCTTAATTTCGTTATTATTATTATTATTATTATTATTATTATTATTATTATTATTATTATTGAATAGATAATCAGACTCTTCATGAAGAGACAGTCCCTCTGCTTGAAGTGGTCGAGTAAATTTTTTTTTTCAATTGTTACGCGATTCTATGAAGCAGAATACACACACACACACACACACACACACACACACACACACACACACACACACACACACACACACACACACACATCTCACTAACATTGTTTGTGTGTGTGTTTATGGATGCGTGTGTGTGTATGTGTAAAAACTAACGAACTTTTTTTACTCTGACGTATTTTTACTACCTCAAATGATATTTTAATGGATACACGTGTTTAATGTAGACGGTGTATATTTTAAACAATTTTATTTTTTTTCTACCCGCGTACGCACTTAAGAAAACTTGATAAAAAGATGCAACATTCATTAAATATGACAGATAAGCTGCTTTGATTAAGTTTTTTATATAATTTTTCATTTTCATAATTTTTTCCTTTTCAGCAGATGAATTATATAAAATCTCTCCAAATGTTGTTTTTTCCAAGCGCTTTCTGTTATACATTTAGCCATTTTCAAGTTTGAAATATATTTACTATTAACTAGAAATAGATTGTTGTATGTATGTAAAACACAATTAACATATTGTGGCCATGTTCATAGTTTATTTTAATGAGTGTTTTTTTTGTTTTTATTAATAAGGCTTCCATTAATTTTAACCTTTTTAACATCTAGACGATGCTATTATATTTGTGCTATCAACAAGTATATTACGAAGATGTTATATACATACATACATACATACATACATATATATATATATATATATATATATATATATATATAAATAATAGGATAAAGAACAAGTAGGAAACAGATCTTAATCTAACATGTTTCACTTTATTAAAGCTTCGTCAGATAGTATATAAAAGTTAATGAGATGCAGTCGGATGTTTTGATTAGATACGTGACATGTGTAATGAAGTAACAGATAATATTCAAATAAGTGTAAGAAAACATTCTGGATGCTAAAGTGGGTAAAAGTTAGTGAGGCGCTACAGGATGTTTTAAGAAATTTTCATTAAATTTTATCTCGTGCGTATATATCGATTTTTATGTATTCGGAAAAGATAAGTTAGATTCATGAATAATAAATCTGAAGAAAAATGGTTATGTAATATAGTTTTTAAAGCGTGTTTTAATAGTTGGTAATATTGCTATAAATATATTTTCATAATATTTTCTCTTTAAATGGTTATGTTCTTTTTTGCTGATGCTGGCATTGTAGAAATTAAAGTTATGTCCTACGTCATTGCAGTGTAATTAGTAATTTTACATTTAGAGTATTCCTTATGTTCGTCTGACTACCATCAACATTAGGGAGCATAGTCAATTGCATTATATAATACATAACTGGATTGTGGGAATAAGAGATGACGCAATGCCAAAGGCATTTCTGTAAAATGTCGGAATTTGAAATCGGCACGTCGATTCCATTTTTTGCGTAGTTAACTCTTTTGCTAAAGGCAGCACCCATCTGATAATTTTCATTTGTTCTTTCGCATTTCCAAACTTTAATTCTAAGTATATTTCACCTTTAAGGATGTTGTTATTAAGAAATTATCAGCGCTTTCATATTAACCAAACGGTGTCTATTTTAACTTCAATCATGGACCGGTAACCGATGTCTCAACTTGTTTTGATCGTTAATTCAGGGTCGCTGCTGTCGTACAACTTTTGACTCACCCAATCAGCAATATTTACCGCAACAGAATCGGAGAATTTCCTTCCCAACTCCAGTTCTTTATTGTTTCGTTTTCACTTTCCACTCCCAACTGGACGGTATTGGAGATTGTCGCGAAGAAAATCTTGTTCTAGCGTAAAGAGCTGGGGAAAATATAAACTTTTACGAGGAAGCAATTTCTGCTTTGGCAACCGACCGGCGTTGCTCGGACAGAGGAAACAGCGAATTCACAATGGTTGGAAGTTGGTGGTCAGGCGGATGGAAAACGGGAAAAAGAGAGAACACATGAGAAATAGTGGCGGCAGAAGGGTTATAAAAGATGAGGCATGTCGGGAGAAGCAGTTAGTTGTAGCGGGTGAAAAAGAAAAAAATGTCGAAAGACGAAAGGAGTGGTAGAGTGCTGAAAAGAGAGCTGAGAAATATAGAAAGAAAATGAATGCCAAATAAACAGTAATCTTGGTGGTATTTTCTTTTCATTCTCTCGATTCGAGGAAAGAAGGAATGAAGAAAAGGCAATTGAATAATACAACCAGTAAAAGAAATGAACTCAGTAAAGAGAAATTAGAATAAAGAACAAAGGGAAATATTGAGAGTCTTTTAAGAAGGAGAGAGACAAGAATAAAAGAGGGGATGAAGAAAGTAAAGCAAAAAAGCTCAGTGCAGCAGAAGAAGTAAAAGCAAGAAGAAGGAAGGAATAAGAAGATAAAGAAAAAGTAGGAAGAGAATGATAAAGAAGAAGAAGAAGAAGAAGAAGAAGATAAAGAAAAAAACAGGAAGAGAATGATAAAGAAGGAGATAAAGAAAAAGTAAGAGAATGATAAAGAAAAAGAAGAAGAAAAGAAGAAAAAGAAGAAGTAGGAAGAAAATGAAGAAGTAGGAAGAAAATGATAAAGAAGAAGAAGAAGAAGAAGGAGTAGAAGAAGAAAAAGATAAAGTAGAAAAGAATGATAAAGAAGAAGAAAACGAAAATGTAGGAAGAGAATGATAAAGAAGAATGGAATAAGATAAAGAAAAATAGAAGAAAATGATAAAGAAGAAGAAGAAGAAGAAGAAGAAGAAGAAGAAGAAGAAGAAGAAGAAGAAGAAGAAGAAGAAATAATGTAATAAGAGAAACCAACGACAGGTTAGTTTGAAGTCGATCTCTTTGTGGGTGACGAGGGTCGACAGAATAGGAGAGGACCGGAATGAAGGAAGAAAAATCAGGAAGGAAGAGGCGGAGTTAGGGAGGAGCAGAAAAAAGGGACTTAGGTGACAAATGAATAAGTGATCTTGGAGCATGAAAGAGGATGTAGGAAGAGGTGAAAATTGACTAGAAGAATGTTTTGGAATGTGATTGGAAGAAAACATGGAAGCGATCGGAGTGTGGTCCATGTACACACTTTTATTTTAAAACAACATTTTTCTTCTTATTTAATTCCCTTCATGCCGATTTATTGTTATATGACCTTGTGACCGGAAAAATTTTCAAATTTTTTTTTATTTGCTTTTTTTTTTAAAAAAAAAATGACCAGTGAAAAATGTCATGCAGCAATTTATGACATAAAGCTCTTCTTTTTTTTTTTTTTTTTTTTAAATGATCAATGGAAAATGGCATGAAAATGTCTCAGGCTTGGACCCGGAAGGAAATATGTATACAACAGAAATCAAAGGAAATAATAATAATAATAATAATAATAATAATAATAATAATAATAATAATAATAATAATAAGAAGAAGAAGAAGAAGAAGAATAGTTTTGTGTCTGTAATAATGTATGTGTTCTTAGGTGTTTTTTGTTTGTTTTTTTTTTTAATTATCAGTGGAAAATATCGTGAAGCCATTTATGACCTTAGGTCTCTGTCTGGGACCCGGAAGAAAATGTGTATACAACAGAAATCAAAGGAAACAGCCCACACTTTACGAAGGGCTTTATATATATATATATATATATATATATATATATATATATATATATATATATATATATATATATATTTATCAGTGTAAAGTGTCATGATGCCATTCTAATTCTAGGTCCCTGGCGGGACCTGAAAAGAAAAATGTAAACGAAAGAAATCAAAGATAATAATAATAATAATAATAATAATAATAATAATAATAATAATAATAGAAACAGAATCTCAAAAATGTGGTGATATGGGAACATCAACAATCCTGTTGTAGTTGGAGCCCTAGACTGGTTGGAAAAAGATTGCAGTAGACTAATTGAAGGGATTCCTGGAAGTCCATGCCTCAAGGCGATACACAAAATTGTTCTGACAAGTACAGCCCACACCTTACGAAGGGCTTTATCTATGTAATTTAATTTTTCTTTTTTGTCAGTGAAAAGTGCCATGACGCCATTTCTAACCTTAGGGTCCTAAGGGACCCGGAAAGAAATGTGTAAACGCCAGAAATCAAAGAAAATAAAAATAATAATAAACGACTGTTTATTATTCCGTTAATTTCCGTTAAATTCCATTATTAGAGCTCTTAGAACAGACCGGAAGGGATAAAGTAAAAGATTGGACGAACCAAAAATGAAAAACAAAATCGGAACAATTCAAATGACCGCGTTATGAAAACAGCAGGAATAGGAAAAGAACGTTTTTTTATGTTTAATATTTTGCTCAGCTACAAAATCGTTCATGTTTATTACAAATTAATAAAATTCTAATATTTGGGATAAAAATAATTTTGAATGTCATCAGACGGTTTAAATATCAGTATTCGGATTCATTGATGCATCCAGGTAATAAAGAAATTTAAAAAAAAAGAAAATTTAACACGAACAAATAAAAATTTAAAAAAATCTTCGGTGATAATGCCGTTAGACACACTAACATCAACATCAACATTTTATTTATCATCAATATTTCTGTCTTAATTTTTAGATTGAGTAGTCATCATTATTTAGATTATTTACATACAGACTAATATAATTACCTGATTGCATATAATATTTATTAACACTGAAGTAACTGCTGTGTAGTACCACAGAGTATAGCCGTGAGTATTCTAGACTCTACTTCTTTATACTCGTTATATATGTTCGTCTCGGCTTGTTTATACGCGATTATAAATGAGTTAGGCCAGAATACGATAAAATATAAGATAGCTGTTATTGCGTCTCCAGATTTTTATTCTTGCATAACTTCACCCAAAACAAGTTGATAATGACACTGAGAAGACGGGAGTTACTAAGAGTGAAAGAGAATGAAAAGAAAGGGGAATAACAGAATAGGATTCAGGAAGATAGAAGATGGCGATTGACGTTGGATTTAATTTTTTCAAGAACTTATGTATCAGGAAAACATGAAACTAGAACAGAGTTTCGCAGGCGAGAAGAGCGGGAAAAGAAACTTTTAGAATAGTACTTACGGTTACATCTAGTTATTTCAAGAGTAAAACGATGAGACCTAAATGCCAATCAGGTAGTAAAACTCTTTAGAACAATTGCCATGAAAATGTTTATAAAAAAGACAAAGTAAAGCTACTTTATGGCGGAAGAAAAATGACTGAAATCGAGATGTCCGGTTGGGACCAGAACATTTCAGACATTTCCTTGGATTCTGTCGAGAATCTCAAGATATATTACAAGAGCTGCAGACCAGTTATGGTAGCGATGTACAATGCACGGAAGAATGGTAAATGATAGTCTTATATTCAATAGATCATTCAGTCTCGCACATCGGCAGAGATTCCTCGTCTATATTCAACAGACTTCATTTCTATTGTGATTCATTGGTTTGCATATTAATAGGCTTAAATTTTGGAGGTCTGTTGATTTCGGTCAAGATCTTTGAAAAATGCTCATTTTTTGTGATTGACCAATTTGTATCGTTTCCATGTTACATTAATAGCCTTTTATTACGTATGAACATGTTTGTACAAACTTGGACGCTATACATTTAATCAACAGCTGCATTAATTGAACAAGAATAGTACACTTTTAGAAATATAGATACATGTTTACTGCTGAATAAGTTCACATGGACTTTTATTACCCGTTTGTAGACTGGAGCCATCACATGACATGCTAGTTTAGATAAGCAGTTGTTGATATTTAAAAGGTGAGAAAGGAAAACATCCCACATTTTAAACTGTCACCTGTGTAGTGCTAGCGAGTGTACGCAAGTGACAATGTTTTTTTTTTTTTTTTAAAGAGCTAATGTCTTACCATTCTTTTTCAGATAAAATCATGGCTTGGGCCCGTGTACACCGTGCGTTTGCTGTTGAAACGTTTTTAAAAACGGTTGAATCTGTTATTGCAACATGAAGAGCTTTTGTGGTGATTTTTTCTTATGCCGCATTTATGCTGTTCCAGATAGAAAATCAATATTGATGTGCGTTGAAAATTTCAGGTCCCCAAGTTCAGCGCTTAAAATGAAGCCATCTGAAAAACCACAAAGCGCTTGAACTTCCTGTTGATGAAAAAAATTAAGAAATTGTCTACAACAGTTTAGAAGACACCATTTGGAGGGTATTACTTTTTAAAACGCAATGACTAAAACAGTAGCCTTTGTTTAAAGAGTGAAATAAAAACTTTTAATAGCAGTTATTTTGGTCTTTTTGTCAACGTTTAAAATGTAGGAGTAATTTCTGCCGCACACTGTATGATTAAATTGCATAATTTAGAATAGGTGTGTTGGTTATTTTGTACTCGTTCAGAAATATCTAAACTATCAGCTGTATACAAAACGCTTTCTTAGATCAATGGCTTAAAATGGCTTCGAATAAATGAAACCTGTAAATTTTAATGAGAACCATCCTTCTTCGTACTTAGTAGACTGGCGCTACATAATCCTAAAAAACTGTACTAAATAACAGAAACTACATCACTTTAGGACTTTCAACAACAGCAACAACTAAAATGGACAGCACAAAACAAAAACAATGACCTTATCAAGATGTTGACGTCTCAACCTACTTCAAACGAAAAGTTACGAAGGAAAACGCTCCATTAATACAGGAAAGAGTGATAAGGTCTACTTAACATGAGGAAGCTATTTTCAGAAAAACATTTTTAAGAGAAAGATTTTTTAAAAATTTCAAACGAAAATACCATTGTTTGCTTGGACAAAGAAATTCGAATGTTTCCTTATAAGGAAAAGGCTAATATTACCATTATCATTAAAGATGCGAAGAACAGATACTACATTTTGATCCCAGCACGATGTCCAGGTAGTGAAGAAAAGTGTAATTCAACTCGAGTACCGGCTGCTCGGTCAATGAATGTCGAATGTTTCCTTATAAGGAAACGTCTAATATTACCATTATCATTATCATACCTCCAACTTATGCAGTACACTAGTCCTAGTCACCCATCGGATGTTAATCTGGACTAGACTAAACTATATACGGATATATTCTGGGAGAGGATTAATCTGGAGCACTACACCTGATATCTGATAGATGCTGTCGTTAGATCCCCAGCAGTGACCATCTAATATGAAGAAGCAGAGAATTGTAAAGAATGGTAATGATATCTCGAGACCATTGGGAACAGATTGTTGATTGGTTGATAGATTTTTTTAACGGCATATCTACTCCTTATGTGTCATTTAATGTGGAAATTTAATTTTCTTGGGAGCTTTGAAGTAATAAAAATGTTATTCTGCTTTCACAGTTGTATACATGGTAGATGATACACAGCTTTTGTGTATATACATGTTTGTGTATTAGAGACAGTGATATGTGTGTTTTATGTTGTAGTTTTGTTGAAGTTATATTTTGGGATATAGTTTGATTTTTTTTTTTTATTTGTGGAATATTATATGGATTAACGTCATGAAAGATCTTTCATATCGGTTCGTTGATTTCGACCTCTATGGATTATTTAACACCGAAATCTAAATATTTTGAACGCATTTGTATGCCTTCAACAAGAGATAAAAGGTATTGTTGGTCATTCTACAATAAAATGTATTATTGGTAATTTTACTATAAATAAATATTGGTGGTAATTTCTTAATATAAAAATGTATTGCTGTTATTTTTACTATGAAAATGTATTTTTATTTTCTTTTAGGGGTTTATAGGGTGTATAATAATAATAATAATAATAATAATAAGGATTTGTTACACATTCTTTTAATGTGATAACAGAAAAGCTTTAAAAAGTATGGAAACTGATTACAACGATCCGAAAACATCTAAGTCCATATAAAATTCATCACACCCAAAGTGGATATAGATCGCCTTTACCTACCGAAGTCATCTGGTGGTAGAGTAGAAATCCAACAAGAATGCACATGTTTGGATGTTCACTACAGGCCTAGAGCTGGAACCATAACAG